TATCCAAGGAAACTGACCCGTTCCTGGTGAAACTCACATTTCTCAGCTTTGACGAATAGTTTGTTCTCAAGCAGCCTCTGTAGAACCTGACTGACATGGTTCTGGTGTTCCTCCAGGCTCTTGGAAAAGATCAAAATGTCGTCAATGTACACAAAAACGAACAGGTTGAGGAAATCTCGTAGGACATCATTTACAAGGGCCTGGAACACAGCTGGGGCATTAGAGAGTCCAAAGGGCATGACAAGATATTCAAAGTGACCAAGGGGGGTGTTAAAAGCTGTCTTCCACTCATCTCCTTGGCAAATTCGAACCAGGTGGTATGCATTTCTGAGGTCGAGTTTAGAGAAGATAGTGGCACCTTGGAGAGGCTCAAAAGCTGAGTTTATCAGGGGAAGTGGGTACTTGTTTTTAACTGTGATGTTATTTAACCCACGAAAGTCAATACAGGGTCGGAGTTATTTATCCTACTTGTCCACGAAGAAAAACCCTGCACCCAGAGGGGAGGAAGAAGGACGAATAATACCTGAAGCAAGTCACCGATGTATTTCTCCATGGCCTCTCTCTCTGGCCGGGACAGACTATAGAGTCGGCTGGTTGGTAAAGGAGCCCCAGGAAGCAGATCGATGGGACAATCATAGGGACGATGAGGTGGGAGAGAGAGAGCTTTATCCCTGTTGAAGGCCCCACTCAGGTTGTGGTAAATGTCAGGAACACCAGATAAGTCTACATCAGCTGAGACACATGGAGCAGGCATAGGGTGAACAGAGACGGGAGGCACAGCAGACTGTAAACAGTTAAGGTGGCACAACTGATTCCATTCAATGATTCTTCCTCCAGCCCAATCAATATGCGGATTGTGGGTGCGAAGCCAAGAGTAACCAAGAACCAAAGGGGTAGCAGGGGCGGAAATGACCTTAAGTTGAATTACTTCTGTGATTTCCAGAAATAATCAAGGTTACAGGTTGTGTCTGCTGTGTGACTCTTGAAATGCTTTGACCATTTAGAGCATAAGCAGTCATAGGATCCAGTAAGGTTTCCAACTTGAGACCCAGCTGGTTGGCTAGTTCCAGGTCCACAAAACTGTCCTCTGCTCCAGAGTCAATGAGGGCAGAGAGGGGCAAGGTCTGAGTGTTTGCACAAAGTCTGGCAGGAATGAGAAAACGGCGCAAGGTTGGGGCTACAATTGGTGTTGGATGTGGACTCGTCAGGACCCCCAAATGTACTGACGAGCCCCTGCGTTTGGGCGAACAGGACAAACAGCAAGGAAATGCCCCAATCTCCCACAATACAGGCACTCTCCAGACCTCAGACGTCGAAGGCTCTCCTCAGGAGATAGTCCGGCGCGTCCCAACTGCATTGCTTCCTCCTTAGCAAAGGTGGGCACGCGAGGTGGCGAGGTGAAGCCAGACGGTCTGGATACAGAGGGAGCACAATTGTGTGAGTTGTTTAACTTACTAGGCAGAGAAAAAAAGGAGAACGCAGCGTTCGCTCCGCACGGCGTTCCCGTAGCCGGCTGTCGAGACGAGACACCAAGGAGATTAAGGATTGGAGGTCAGCAGGCTCATCTCTTGCAGCCAGCTCATCCTTCAGTTGATCCTTCAACCCCCTAACAAACACTGCCCTTAGAGCCGCCTCGTCCCATCGAGCCTCTGCCGCCAGTGTTCGAAACTCGATAGAGTAATCTGCAACGGTACGAGTCCCCTGTTGCAAATTTAGCAGACGATTTGCAGCTGAGCCAGAGTAGTCGGGGTGATCAAAAACAGTGGACAAATGTTCAGAAAAAACTCCAAAGGAAAGAGTGTCGTAATCCACAGAATAACTCAATGCTTCGGCCCAGGTTAATGCTTTGCCACGAAGCAAACCCAACACATAGTTAATTTGAGTCACATCAGAAGAAAAGGACAAGGGGCGCTGGCGAAATACCTTGTTGCATTGAAAAATAAATCCTCTGCATTTCTCCGCCTCTCCGTGGAAAGGCTCTGGATCGGTGATGGAAAAGTCCCGACATGGAGTGGATTCCTGAAGGGGATTGCAGGAATTGCAGCAGAAGACGTCAGGGTTGAAATCTGGGCTGCAAGATTCGTGATGTGATGTGCCATGGACTGATTGCTGTCAATTAAAGCTCAAATTATCTGCTCATGTTGACCCAGAAGGTTTCCCTGATGAGACAGGGCGTGCCGAACAGCGGAGGAATCCGATCCAGTGTCAGAGGGGTTCATATTGACCAGTTCGTACTGTTACGCTCTCCGAGAGCTTACAGGTGTGAACCCACAATACTGAACACTATTGAGAGGAGACTGAAGTTTAAGAAACAAAAAGGCTTTATTTCCAAAACCGGTTATGCTGAACAGCTTGATATTCACAATGTCCAGGGTCAGGGAGTAGCCTATCTTCGGAGGTGGAGCGGAGGTCCGAAGCCGGGTGTGCGGAGATGCACGGAGGAACACAGGCGAGGTAAGCCGGGGATTCAGAGCTGACGAGAGCAAGCAGGCTGGGGCAGGTGTGCGTGGAAGCACGGAGGAACACAGACGAGGGGTTGGTGGCTGGACGTGGCAGGCAGAGGAGTAGGCAGATGGATTCTGAACAGAGAGAGTATAAGGTGAGGATTTACAGGAACACTGAGATTAGGTTTTGCTAAGAGCTAAATACCAAGACGTATTACCACTCTGGTGAGACGACGAACTGGTGAATACTGGATGACGAAAACCGGGTAGATAAGCAGGTGTAGGTGAGTAGTTGAATCAGAGTGACGAGCAACAGCTGAGGAGGTGAGTTGGCGGGAATCGAAAGTAGGTCAGCTACGCCCAGCCAGGAAGACAGACAGACAACAACAAACACGAAAAGAAGGAGGCAGCACTGAAGATCCTCACACCCGGTGTGTAAGGGAACTCACAAAGTGTCAGAAAACAAAACCCTCTCCCTTTTCCTCCTTTCCCAAATCTCTAAAAACGGGGGTACAACAGAGCTGATCCAGATTTGCGTCTGATATGATGTAATATCGGCAATGTGGGCTGGCTTTACACCTATGCTTTACACCCACGGCCCTATCAGAAACGTCGCTATCAGAAACAATGCCCGAAGTGTTTTGGAAGTAATATGGTCTTTGTTTACATTAGCAAGCATCGCTAACACTCAGAGCTAACGCAGTACTGGAGAGAGTATGAGTAAAAAAGCAAAAAGAAGTACTCACCTTGTGGTAAACCCACAAGAGAAAAAGCATTTGAGCTCCATATTGTTTCAGAAATAATGCTTGATGTGGTTTGGAACATGATATGGCATTTAATCACGGCAGCATTTTGCTGAATATCTGGGTAGAATTCTCCTGCATGAGACCTCGTCTCTTTTACTACGGACGAAGAAACAGCACTTTAGTAACAGGCTGAAATAGAGGGGTATGAGGCATGGCTAGGCAATGGGTGATCTGTTTGGTATTTTGAGCAAAACACTTCATAGACATGTTTTATCTGAGACCTATAATATATGCCTAAAAATAGTATAATAGGAGACCTTTAATGAGGAAATAAATCAAGAGCAGATTAAGGTAATTTTCGTATAGACTTCTATACAATAGGACTTCGTTTTGCACCCGTAGAGACAAACCCTGCTGGCTATAAGAAAGAATGACAGTTAAGGCTCAAAGGTTAAGGTATGGCTAACCTTATGCATCTGACACACTGGGTGGTGAATTGATGGTTACAGCTAAAAGCAACAGCTAGAAAAAGGTTGCAGTAAGTAAGTTTTCCCTTCCAGAACGTCATGGATGATGCCTGTGTGGGGGGAGAGAGGAGGGTTATAAATAAGCTTTGTATTTATTGTGGATGGCTGCACTGGTCAGTAGAATTGAAAACGGAATGCAGCAATTCCACAATCAATATGACTCATATATGAAGTTGTACCTGCTTTTTGAAGGCACTTCTTCTCTTCAACTGGAATATTCAATAATAATAATAATAGCTTGGATTTATATAGTGCCTTTCATGGGACCCAAGGTCGCTTTTCAGAGAAAAACAGGAATAAAAACAAACAAAAACAAAAGGCAGTTAGATAAACAGTCAGACAGACAAAACAACAAATAGATTAGGGGCCAAAGGCCTTGGCAAACAGATGGGACTTGAGGGCCCTTTTGAAGGCGTCAAGCGTGGGGATGTTGCGGATCTCTGCAGGGAGAGCGTTCCAGAGGGTGGGGGCTGCCACACTGAAGGATCTGTCCCCGAAGGTTCGCAGGTTGGTGCGGGGGGTGGTAAGCAGGCCAGAGTCTGAAGACCGCAGGTTCCGGGGTGGGGCATGTGGGCGGAGGAGGTCCGATAAGTACCGGGGGGCATGGAGGGACTTGTAGGTAAGGAGGAGGACTTTGTAGGTTGTGCGGGACTTTGTATGTGTGAGTACCCTAGCAGCACAGTTTTGAACATACTAGAGCCTGTCCAGGGTTTTGTTGGGGACCCCAAACAGGACACCATTGCAGTAGTCCAAGCAGGAGGTGACGAAAGCATGGACTAAGCTTTCTGCAACCGACTCCGAGAGTGACGGTCGGAGTCTGGCAATGTTCTTTAAATGGAAAAAGTCAGATTTGGTGACAGACTTGATGTGGGAGTGGAAGGAAAGGGTGGAGTCAAAGATGACACCCAGGTTGCGGACTTCAGGAGATGGGGAGATGGAGCAGCCGTCAACCTCAAGGATGAAGTCACCAACCTTCTGGAGCAGCGCCTTGGGTGCGACAACCATGAGCTCTGTTTTCCTGTTGTTGAGCTTGAGGAAGTTGGATGACATCCAGGTTTTTTTATGTCGTTAATTTTGTATTTGTCCGCCAATGGCAACCAACTCATTTGCGAATTTGGATGGAATGATGCAGACCTGTACCAGGAATGAATGCAAAGGCCAGTGTATCAGATATCATCATCACATGCCACATGAATGGAGCCTATGTCTTTACCCCAAAAAGAATAACCTGTGAACTGAATTCATGCTGAACATGCACTTTCATGTTTTCCCCCTCTCCCTAGCGAAGACCCCAATGCAAGATTCCTTACCCCAGCTGCTGGAGCACAGGAGGAAGGAGCTGCAGGAGAGACAGGCCACTTACAGGTCCACAACCTCACAATACACTGAAGGCCTTTACAGACTGTGTGAATCATATTAATATTCATATGATGCACTGTTCTTTCTTCCTCTTTCAGATGGGTCACATGGGCTCCGGGGATTCCCAGATGTATCGACGCCAAAACAGAAGCAGATTTACCCCAGGATGAACGTTTCGACAACGAGAAAAGGAGTGACTTTGAACATTCACTGCACTACGCGTAGGTGGTTCACACGTATCTCAGTTTTGTTTATCACACTATCAGACTAGATCTAGTTCTTACCAAGAAAGTCCCTTGATAAGATTTGAGTTCCTACTTCCTCAGAATCAGAAACAGGTTTATTGCCAACTGGTTTACGAGGAATTTGCCTTGGCGTTTTTGTGAATGCATAAACACAGTCAAAGAGTTAATTGTAAGAAAAGGACCAACAAATAAAGCTATTATTTAAAAAATATATATTTTAAGAAAACTATATTGCTAGAATATAGCAATATTTACACAAAATATAGATGACATATTGATATATCCGTACAAATAAAAAAGAAGTGATATATGTGCAGATACAAGAGGTAGCTTTGAGTGCAGAATTCAGAGGGTCTTTCAGGACTGACAGTATTAGAATGAACGAGATACTGTTTTAATGTGATGCTCTCTTCCTTCGCCTCAGATTGCTCGAGCTGTCTCTGAAGAAGCTGGCCATCAGCTTTGGGAAGTCTTGGAATGACTTGGAGGATTTCAAACGAATTTTCTGGAAACTACGAAGTCCCATAGCCGGTAGGTAAATCCACACTCCTCCAAAAACAGAATGACTAAAAGACTTTGGGTTTCACGAGAAATACAACATTTTGCGACAAGACTTCTTAATAACACAGCAACGAAAGATGGAAGTTAAATATAATACTCTTTTTTTGCTTTTTATATATGCATACTGTTTCATAATTTAATGAAAAAGATAAAAAGGTACGTGGAAAGAAAATTAATATCAATAAGATGTTTTTTACTTAAGTGTATTATGACAACAGAACAATGTGACCTTAGAAAAGATGAAAGCTAGATATTTTCGATCAGAAATGATTTTATTCATAGGAAAACCTTACACTCAGCATATCCAGGCAGCAGCGTTTCAGTGTTGGTGTACCAACACTGAAACACATGAGCACATACTACAGTTTAAAAAAGCAGAAATAAAATCTGAGCCGACAGAAAATGCTCAGTTTTAGTTTAATACACACAGTTAAGATCACACACACTATTTTATGAACATAATAGATTCACCTACTGAATTAAAAACAAAACAAATTAACCAAAGAAAGTGAAAACCATAAAGCAGATTCAGGCAGTAGGCGTATAGATTCACACTTAAAGTATTAGCCTACAGAACAGTACAGCTTACAGAGAAGAGATAACATCTGATCCTTTACAACAAACACTATATGATCTGTTTAGGTTTTTACTGACACTGTAATCCTGCTACTTATCTCACTTTTTGGGAAATGTAATAGTGATCTGATTTTGTGTTTTTTATGTGACTTTTTTGTACATCATTTTCAATAGTTTGAGTTCCTCAGAAATGTTCTTCTGTTTTTTTTGTTAATTTCACCGATCATTTTGTATTAACTAGGTCTATTTTGCGGATTAAATAAACTCAAATTAAAAGATGGCTTTTTTTATCAACTCAAAATAACAAAGTCAATCAATTGCCTGCATTTCTTCGAGCTCTGGTAACTTTTCTTGGTTTTTCAGTGTTAATTTAACATCGTGTGTGTGTGTGTGTGTGTGTGTGTGTGTGTGTGTGTGTGTGTGTGTGTGTGTGTGTGTGTGTGTGTGTGTGTGTGTGTGTGTGTGTGTGTGTGTGTGTGTGTGTGGCCCAGAGTACTGCATGGAGCACTGGAAGGAGGACTGGTTCTTCGGCTACCAGTGTATGAACGGCTCTAACCCCAGGATGATCCGGATTATCCGGAAGCTTCCAGAGAACTTCCCAGTAGTTCCCAACATGGTGCAGAGCTCCATGGCTCTGGGGACCCACCTGGACAAAGAACTCAAGGTGGAGGAGAGAACCAAAAAAATGCAACTTCAGTCATTTTTTTTAAATCTTATTTTTACTGAAGTAGTGGGGGTTTGAATTCACTACAGTGAACATTTCAACATGACACAAAATGTCACTTCCTCAAAACAAAGAATAGAGTAAAATTGAAATATCGAAACAGTAATAATTAATTAATTAATTATTTAATTAAAGAACAAAAACGTCAATGAAAAATGGTTGTCATAAAATAATATTGCACCCCCACTACTTGCAAAACTGATAAAACAACACACACACACACACACACACACACACACACACACACACACACACACACACACACACACACACACACACACACACACACACACACACACACACGTGTGTGTGTGGCTTATCTCATCTACTGTACATAGTTTTGTAAATGTTGTTCCATATCTTGATTCATTGTCTTTCCTTATTACTGTCTTCTGACATTGTTCTTCTAGGTTTAATTAACATTTTCCATCTGTGAAGTGTAGGTTCTTCCGTCAGTCATTTTGTCTCTGACTTGTTTCTCCCAGGCAGGGAACATCTACCTGTTGGACTACGCCATCATGGACGGGATCCCCACCAACACCATCAGAGGGAGACCCCAGTTCATCGCGGCCCCCCTCTGTCTGCTGTACCTGCACCCAGACAATGGACTCATGCCCATTGCTATACAGGTAGTCATCTTCATCTATTAAGCTATACAGTTAACTTCTCCTGCATTACGTCCACATTAGTCCTGAAGCATTTTCTTTCCCTACTTTATTTATACTTTGTTTCTTCTTTTATTTGTTGCATGCAATGGTTTTTGGAGTTATTGAGTATGCTGAGTCCATTTCTGACATTTTCAGGATCAATAATGCTTTTAACCAGAGAATGCCAATATGTGTACTCCCGGTGGGCTGATTTCGATTAATTTGTTTCTGTCGATTTGGAAGATTTAGGGATCTCTGGATCATTTGGATTGGACAGATTGCCTATTTATTTGAGAGGGAAAAAATGGCGAAAGTAGAGATAATAATGTTCATCTTGTTCTCTCTATATCTAATTGTTGCAACATGCTATTCAAAATCAGCCCATCGAGAGTACAAATATGAACACTTTCTGATTAAAACTGCCACTTTAGATTCTAAAAATATCAGAAATGGATTCAGCATACTCAATAACCCCCACAATCAGTCCAAATGGGCTAAGTAATGTTTTTACTATTGTTTACACAGGCTATAATGCCATTCATTTAAATTAACGCAACTGATGCTAATTGTGCAAATTACCCAACATATGCAAGTTAGCATCCAGCAGTTTCTATGTACTGGGGACCCTACTATACATTTGTATCATATAACTTTGGGGTTCACAGTGCTGGCAACTAGACCAGTAGCTGCTGCGTAACAATAAAGCCTTTGAACTTTGACCTTTGACTGCCTGTTATAGTCTCCCTTGCTTGTCCTCAGCTGGAGCAGAATCCGGACCGGGACACCCCCATCTTCCTGCCCAGCGATCCCCCCCTGGCCTGGCTGATGGCTAAGATGTGGGTGCGTCACTCTGAGTTCCAGGTGTTCCAGCTGCTGTCCCACTTGCTGCGGACCCACCTGGTGGTGGAGGTGTTCTGTGTGTCCACCCTGAGGCAGCTGCCCGCCGTGCACCCCGTATACAAGGTACAGTCTGTACGTCTGATCGGGGGGTCCAAACATCTGTCACTGAGGGCCACTTACAGAAAAATATACAAAGGGCTGGGCCACTCACTAGAGGTGAGGTATACCTATTTCAAACTTGTTTTGCAAATAAGTTATTGGGCTTCTTTCATCAAATAAGATTTGTTAAAAACTTTAATTGACTGCATTTATTGAAAATTGGGCTTAAGAACAATATCAGACAAGCACAAGTTTTATGTATTCCATTATACTTAATAATTAAAACTGTAGCTTTCAGTGAGAATATTAAACCATGTGTTTGTACTATTCTGGTTTCAAGGTCACATATTGTGGTCAATGTGAAACTACAAGACTCATTTTCAAATGTTAGCTGGTAATAATTTGAAGTGAAGTACAAGTACCTTAAAAATTGTACTTAATACTGTAATTTTAGAATCCAATATTTTACTTTTAACTCCACTACATTTATTTGACAACTTTGAGTCACTAGTTATTTTTTAGATTTAGATTATTAGTGAATACAAATATAAATGAATTATTAAAGGTAAGTTTGAGAAACCGGCTCGAGATACACTTTTTGTTATATTCCATGGAATGCTCTTAACATCCCGATAGCAATGAATATCTGAAGTGCTTTGACAAAAAATCCATAAAAAAAACGTCATCTGTGGAAGCCGTAGTGCTGTAAAAAGCACGACCAATCATTTTAGCCGGCCCGGCTAAAATAACTGGATGGATGGCCTACCTGCCTGTCAGCCTTCCATCTGTGCACAAATTTATCTCGTGCCCTCATTGGTCATGTGCGCGTTCGTGTGTGTTGGGCTCTATAAGGAAGTGGCAGATTTTCTCCGGTCGTGTATTTTCAAATTCTAGCGATCTCGAGCCGGTTTCTCAAACTTACATACCCCACCTTTAAATACACTTTGACATATATTTATAGGTTAAAGGAGACATGTCATGGCCATTTCCACTGATCATAATTCCATTGTTGAGGTCTACTAGAATAGATTTATATTGTGCAATTTTCCAAACTCACATTGGTTTCTCAAACAGCATCTCTGTAAACGACGTGGATTCACTGAATTTCCCTCTCTGCCTTTAACGGCTCCTTGTAGCTCCAATAGCTCCAGCCCCCACCCTCCCTGTGAGCACAGTGTGCTCTGATTGGTCGGGACGTTGTGAATCGCGCTGAGCTCCGTGGAGCTGTTGTTTCCTTGTTTAGCGATACACAGCTAAACACAGCCAAACTCACCCTGAGCACACACAAAGTCACAGCCGAAGTAAAAACAATAAGTGTGGGAGTAAGAAAAAGGCTGATAAACGCTGTGAGAATGGGTCTGCAGAGAGAATTTCTCCGCGATCCCAACTGTCTGTTATCAGCCTGCAGCCAGGGAGGCCTGCACTGTGTGTGCGTGTGTGTGTGTGTGGGGGGGGGAAGTCCGTGGATTGGTCAATTTGGACCAATCAGCGGGGGTTTAACGTAATGGCTCCGCGGACGTAACGTAACGGCTCCACGGATTGGTCCATTTCGTTCCGGGTACGGGTTGACATTATGCCGTACCCGGAAGAATCAAATGGTTACAGGGTACTCGCTACAGGGTGTACTTTGAGGGTTTGTGACTCTGCAGACCGTTTACATGCATAAAAACCTTCATAACATACAAGGGGACGGGTAATAACCGGAAAAGCATGACATGTCTCCTTTAAGGTTGTCACTACCCGATCCGTCCCCCTGCCCGATCGGTACTGCGCATGTGCGAGATGGTCCGCCATATTGGACAACTCCGGACGGCAACCCAAGAAGGACACTTGACACAGTGGCTTTTAGCAAAGCTCAAAAAGAAAACGAGAGAGAGATGAGTTATTGTTATTACAACGTGACTTCACTATTATTTAACAACTCTTTTTATTGGGTTATTTTATTTGGGGTTAAGTACATTGTCAGAATAAGTGAGAAGTTAATGTAACTTCTGTTAGACAGCTATCATACTGAATAAATATTGACCGTGAATGTATGCAAAAATGTATGGCATATGGCTGTCTAACAGAAGTTAAATTCGTCTCGCACATGCGCAGTACCGATCGGGCAGGGGGATGGATCGGGTAGTGACAAAGGTAACCTGCAATAGATGAGAGTAACACCTACGTCACTTCCTGGCAAAAATTACGGCCCGCCCACTTTTGGGGGAAAACAAAGCAGTCATTTGAATGGCGGTCAATACAAATTCTGAAGTTTTTGCCAATCCGATCACATTTTTTTGAAAACCGTGGATTTTTGGATCTTCAAAGAGCTCGATTACAATGGCCAGTCAGGCAAACAATTACATTCGATCATTGGAAATCGACAATCGGTCTCGATATATGGTTAAATTAAAATCAGTAGACGAGCCTGTAATTTCTCCAGCTGTTACTCTCATGAGCGAGGCGGAACATAATAGTTTTAACATGCCAAAAAGCTGCTGTGTCGTTTATTGCACCTCAAACATAAAAAATAATTAAGAGTTCAGTGTTTCTGTACTTCCTCTAAGAAGAAAGGACAGTAACAGAAGAGCTCTGTGGCTTCAGGCTCGATCGCCATTCAAATTACAGCGTTGTTTCCCCCAAAAGTGGGCGGGGCCGTAAAGTCACTTAGATGTTACTCTCATCTATGAAAATCGATCGCCTACTGCTATATTTAACCATATATCGAGCCCGATCGTCGATTTCTAATGGCTTAATGCAATTGTTTGCCTGTCTGGCCATTGGAATCGGGCTCTTTGAAGATCCAAAAGTCTCCGGTTTTCTTACATTTCTGATCGGATTGGCAAAAACTTCACAATTTGTATTGACCGCCGTTCAACTGACAGCGTTGTTTTCCCCCAAAAGTGGGCAGAGCCGTTATTTTTGCCCGGAAGTGTTACTCTTTGTTACTCTCATCTATTGCAACAAGATATTCGTAGGTGCTATTTATTACTATTACTATTTCTTGTCTTCTTCAGAGCCTTCTTCACTTACACCAACACAACAACAAATACTAATGGCACTCTCAAAGGACTTCTGGTGGCTCATAATTCCATAATTATTTTACTGGCAAGCCTTTAAAGTAAAAAAATAGAGGCAACTGGAAACAATTAATGAATGAAAACATTATTTCTCTTCCCAATATGTTTTCCCCCCAGAAGTTACAAGGTACCAACATATTAAGGACAACACATAATAAAACCCACAAAACAAAAACAGACTAAGAAGAGACAAACAAACAAACAAACAAACAGCAATCTATGTCTATTACTCGCATTGCAGAGGAATTGTAACCTTTTTCTGTTATGTTCTCTGGTTGTCATGGTGTTCTGATCAGTGTTCTGTTTCTCCTGCAGCTCCTGTCCCCTCACCTGCGCTACACCCTGGAGATCAACTGCAGGGGGCGCACTCAGCTCCTCTCGTCCAACGGCATCTTCAAAAGGGTGTGTCACTGAAAAATAATATGTAACTGGAAGGTTTAACTTCCCCACCTCATAGTTTGATCCATATTAAAATACTTGTATTGGTTTTTAAAGCTCTTCTTGGTCTTGGGCCTAGCTTTTTTTTAAATCAGTTTTGCTTTTAACCCCTCTGGACCCCTCAGGTCTTCTGTTACCGGCAGTTTAATCATACCCAAAGTGAAAACAAAGACCCCCGGTGAGGCGTCTTTTTCTTATTACGGCCCACCACTGTGGACCAGCCTCCCAGAAGACCTGAGGGCAAGGATTTATTCAGATTGTATCTGATTTTATGTATTTTATTTGTATGTATTTTATTTGAATTTATTTATTGATTTTATTCCTTTTTTATTCAGTTCCTTAGTTGTTTTTAATCACAAAGCTGGTGAATCACTTTTGTGTATGAAAAGTGCTACATAATTACATTTTGATTTGAACATTATATAATGTGTGCATGTGTGTGCATCCGATAATCATGGAGCTAACCATGGTGTGTCTGTGTGTGTGTGTGTGTGTGTGTGTGTGTGTGTGTGGTGTGTGTGTGTGTGTGTGTGTGTGTGTGTGTGTGTGTGTGGTGTGTGTGTGTGTGTGTGTGTGTGTGTGTGTGTGTGTATAGGTTGTGTCCACCGGGGGGGACGGCCTTATGATCCTGGCCCAGAGGGAGTACAAGGTGCTGACGTACCGCTCCCTGCAGCCCCCCAACGACTTCGCTGACAGGGGTGTGTTCCAGCTCCCCAAATACTTCTACAGAGACAACAGTCTGATGCTGTGGGAGGCCATACACAGGTACACAACCACACTCTCTGTATTCACACACATGCTGCTGGCTCTGCTTTATTCTGCAAACAAGAAGACCCAGGGATCTCAGAAACAACAGACCAGTTAGAATGTCCTTGTGTTCACTTTGTATCCACCAAAGGGATATTAAGCCCTAACATGTGATTCGACCATTGCAGATATGATGTTAAAATGTAATAATGGGTAGCGGTGTATCAACCGATATTTAGCAGATCTTTCTTCCACACTTTCATTTTTTTTTCAGATCCATTTTATTCCATAATAATATTGTAGGACATGAATGATCATGCTTGTACACATTTAAGAGCTTTATAAAGCCATATCACAATGTAGGGTGTTTTTTTATATTGAGGTACCTGAGTGGTTATAATGATACAGACTTGTACAGAGCCCCCTGGAGTTCAACAATATAAATACGTATTTTGTGTGTTTGTACACAGGTTATGATCATTTTCAGGTTCATATTTGTATGTAGTGTCTCTACTGTGACGTGTCTCCATGCTTTAATGTTCAGAAAGCTCTTTATCTTTCTCATACTGCCTGTGCTGCAGCATCTCTTTTCGCCCTCTGTCTGAAACTTGAAACTGGGATTGTAAAATAATGAAGGAACTGTTAACCTATTAATAAATCATTTGTTTTCTGCGCCTCTTTCTCCAGTTTTGTCTCGGGCATTGTGGGTCTTTATTACCAGTCAGACGAGGACGTGACGGAGGACCAGGAGCTCCAGGCCTGGTTCAGAGACATCACTCAGGAGGGCTTCACAGAGCTGCCCAACTTTGGTCAGTTTAATGTATATCATTATTTTATTACAACCAGGGTTCGAGTTATAATCTGAGTTTTATGGGGTCTTTAAAACTAACCGTGTGTGTGCACACACACAGCCCTCTACTTGCTACAAACTTAAATATGAAAAGGTTCAACTACGCACACACACATCATCTCGGCTCGCACAGCACGCTCACAGGCATAGATTGCGCAATCATTTATTGCGCACCTTGGAGGTGCAGTGCTGGCATATTGTCATTCAAGAGAGAATACGATGCGTAGTTCTTTTGGAAAACATGTTTTTATTTTAGCCTATTTACCTCATTAAAGTAAATAACACTCATTACGTTGACACATGCATTATTTGTGATTAAAATAATGGTTGTTGGTAATGTATTAGCGACCCCCATAGATATATGATTTCACTGCTTTCATAGGAGCCAGACCCCTCCTTATGGGAGCTCAGCTCCCATTGGCTCCCACATAACTCCAACCCTGATTACAACGTAAAAGCACAAAAACCAGAATACATACAAAACATATATAAACATGAGATAATTAGTCCTGATTATTTCCACCTGTTCAGGTCTGCCCAGCAGGCTGACCCTGGAGGAGCTGAGCACCCTGCTGTCAGTGGTCATCTTCATCGCCACAGCCCAGCACGCTGCCACCAACAACGGACAGGTGCTCACATCACATTCACTCAAGTACTGTACTTAAGTACTGTTTGACATATTTGTTCTTGAGTATATTCATTTAATGCTACTTTAAACTTCTACTCCACTACATTTAGAGGCAAATGTTGCACTTTTGTTCCCACTATATTTATTTAACACTCACAGATACAGTTACTTTGTACATATAAAACATATTGTAATGCAGTACTGTAATACTAATATACTCTGGATTTCAAGTATCTGAATTGCTCAATATTGACCAACTATCATACTAAAATGCTCCTACATGTATACAAACAGGATAATATATAACCATAATAATATAATACTGTGAAAAGATCCATTCTGCAACAAGTACTTTTACTTTTGATACTTAAAGTACACTTAGCTGATAATACTTCTGTACGTTATATTCTTCCGAAATGGGTCATTGTGCAGAATGAGAACTTTTTATTCTTTAAGTATATTTTGATGATAGGAGATCTTTAAGTAACATGTTGAAATCAGGACTTTTAATTATAATGGAGTACTTTAAGATAATAGTATTTGTACTTTTACTAAGTACTTCTTCTCACACTGATTATTGCAAAAGTCAGTTTTGAGATGTAAATTGTTGGAGGAAATAGTTCTACATCCCACTCAGGGCTCTGACTCCTCCTCTCTCTGATGTTTCTCCAGTTTGATTGGTGCGCCTGGGTCCCGAACACCCCCTGCACCATGAGACACCCCCCCCCAGTAGACAAAGATGCTGTCACCATGGAGATGATCATGGCCACCCTCCCTGATGTGAGCCAGTCCTGTGTGCAGATGGCCATCACATGGCATCTGGGGCGGGCCCAGCCAGACGCAGTGAGTATATCTGTCAGGCGATCATTAACGTGATGAGGACTCCATTACTTCCTGTCGTGGCGTTTTAGTGCATTTCTCAAATAAAAAGCCACTGTCCTTTGGGTTCTGACTCGCCTCAATTTGTTTCCAAATGTAATGTTGCATCACATAATATTTATTTAGCAATCCAGGCAGGCGGCATGTACATATTTATACTTCCTTCATTTAAATGTAACACAAAGGAGTTCTCTGTGTAACCTAATATAACTAAAAAGATTGTGGTCAAATATATACTATATATATTATATGTTGACATTTTATTTATCAAGCGTTTATCAGGTGCTCAAATAGGGTAAAAAAAACAGGGGTAAAAAATAAGAAAGAAATAAAATGTCAAATTAAAATCGAGCAATAAAACAACATTTAACACAATGACATTTGACACACACTGTAAATGTTTTATTCTTTAACTTTTTAAATGTTGTATGCTATTTTATTTCTGAAATATTTTGGCCTGTTCATTTCTTGTGTCTTAATTTCTCTTATGTACATTCCTTTGTGTTTTTTATGCTGCTGCAATGCAAACATTTCCAAAATTGAGATCAATAAAGTATCTATCTCTCTATCTCTCTCTCTATCTAATCTATCTATCTCTCTATCTATCTCTCTATATCTATCTATCTCTCTATCTATCTCTCTATCTAATCTATCTATCTCTCTATCTCTCTCTCTATCTAATCTATCTATCTCTCTATCTAATCTATCTATCTCTCTAATCTATCTCTCTCTCTATCTAATCTATCTATCTCTCTATCTAATCTATCTCTCTCTCTATCTATCTATCTATCTATCTCTCTCTCTATCTCTCTATCTATATCTATCTCTCTATCTATCTCTCTATCTCAGTGGCGAGCCGTGACTTTTATACCTAGGCCCTCTGACCCCCCCCCCCTCGAAAAAAAAGAAGAGATATTACGTCTCAACGTAGACTTCAGCGGAATATCAAAACAGCGGCCCGGGGTGCAAAACGCATCAATGACAGCGACCCTCTACCACACAGAACAACACCATTTATATAAACACCTATCATGACAGCTTACCCACAGCCAAGTAGCAATTACAAATGAATTAACTCGGCACTGCGGCCCGCATTGAAAATGACTTAGGCCTACCTTTGATGATCAAATCACACAAAGTCCATCCTCCTGTCCTTTTGGATGAAGCACTTGCAGGTCATTCAGCTGATCCTTTGTCACTCCAGTTTATCATTGTAACTCAATCTTGAAAATGACTCGGTTAATAATTTCGCAACGATGTCATCACTATCACTGAAGTGAGCCATCATGAACGAATTTATGCTAATTATAAATCTATCGATCATAAATCTATCGATTAGATTTATGTTTCAAAAATAATAAAAGTAGGATAGACATGTGGATATTATCCGGCTGAACACAACGTGCATTTATCTAACAGGTTCGTTTTCCACAGACCTTATTTCGAGCTATTTTCCAAAATCCTCTGGAGAAATCCCGTTGCTTTCTGTCGAGGGAATCCGAGCGCAGCTTACTTCCGGGTTTTAGGACGCGTCACTGCACCACTTGCATAGACCTCACAGCGGGCGGAACTTGTCATAAAGTCCGCGAAAATAAAGCCCGCCCATTTAGAGGGAAGATATGATTGGTCAATTGTACTGTCATTTGACATTACTCTCTCGTTGAGTTACTATAGCTGGGCCCTCTGTGAATGTAGAGAGGGACCAACAAGCCCTCCCGTCTCACTCGCAGAGACGGCATTTAACCCTTCACATTCCAACAGAAACTGAACAGGCAGATTCGAAGGATTTATTTCTTTGGAAATATTTCTTTGGAAATATTATTTTAAATACAATTAAATCAATTAAAATGTATTTTGGTAAAACTAATGAAAAATGTAACAACAAAAAAATATAAAAAATAATATTTAAAATAAAAATGTTTTTTTTTTAATGTTTTCAAATATTATTTTTTAGAATATCTTAGGCCCTCACAGAGGGCCTAGAGGGCTCTGACGGCTCGCCACTGCTCTATCTAATCTATCTCTCTCTCTATCTAATCTATCTATCTCTCTAATCTATCTCTCTCTCTATCTAATCTATCTAATCTATCTCTCTATCTATCTATCTCTATCTCTATCTCTCTCTCTATCTCTCTCTCTATAT